TTTTATCAAATTAAATGATTTTATTATAAGCATTAAAGCTAGTAATGAATTCAAAGTTTTATTATTTTAACTAATTATGCTAAAATAAATAATTAACTTCTCTAATCACTGTGACATACCACATTTTTTGAATGCAAAAAAAATTTAAAATATTAATCATCATCGAAATTAATTTACGAATTTAAAATCTGCAATTCAAAAAAAAAAAAAAAAAAAAAAATTTTGATCTGCACTCTACCGCGTTCCGGTGCCGGGAGGGTGCCATAAAAAGGACAGTATACCTAGAAAAGGCGGTTTTAAAAGCAAAAGAGGCCTTACCAAAGGGGCGAAAGCCCTGGTACCAAAGAAAAGGAAGTTCATTGATTGGAATATGGACGAAGTCCAAGGAAAACACGTAAAGACTCATGACACTAGGTCAAAATCTGTTAACAAAGGAGAAAACATGAACATCGCGCAAGAAAGCACAGTAACTAAACTAAACTCAGAACAGGGACAGGAACAAACCGTAGCTACATCTAATAATACATCGATTGATTGGTCAGAGGATGTGGACCTGGAGTTCTCTGTGGGGGAAGACTTAACAGACACAGGTTCAAGTAACTCTGACGAATCGGAAAATTCGGCGAGGAATATAAAGGAACTTTCTGGAAAGATGGCGGAAAGATCTGACGTAATGAATACTGATATGCAAGTTGACGATCTAAACCAAATTTCAGGCAATATTACATCAAATTCAGATAAGAAATCATCGGAAGTTCGTCAATGGACCAGTTTATTCACTAAACTAAAGAGTGGCAAAGCAACTTACTCTAACTTTGCCCCTAGAGATAGAATTCATACAAAAAATGATAATGCATTAATCTTTAATATTCAGGGCCTGGAGAACATCTCAATTAATGATATTGTTGCTGCACTTTATACAAAAATAGGTGATGAATTGATTGCAGCTAAACCGCACTACAAAAGAGGGAAACGTTTGTACCTTGAGGTTATTTTTAATAATCAAGAAAAACAACAATTGTACGCTACGCAAGGAATTAATATTTTTAAACGATCACTTTTTGGGTATATTTCAGTCAATCTTAGACGTACTTTCCTGTCTGTTAGGTTACGAAATGTCCCAATGGGACCCAAGGACCTTATCTCTAAAAAGATTAAAGAGGCTACTGAGGACTTTGGTGTTTTATCATCAATCAAGCCCTTGGTATATGAAGGGACTCCAGTATGTACGAACCAGTGGGTGGTAACGTTCGAAACAACAGAGGACCCAGATCTTGCTAAAAGAATCCCTAGACATACTCATATTTGGGACCAGAAAGTTACACTAGAATGGAAAGAGGCACCCAAACTTTGCTTCTATTGTGACAAGGAAGGTCACATCAAAAGGGACTGTGAAGAACTTAAGAAATCTATTGAGTTTCGAAAATGGCAAAAGGAACATAGAGTACGGGCAAAAAACCTTGAAACAACTGAACCTTTAACTTTTAGTGTTAATAATCCATATGTTTCAGAGGCTATGCAAGGTTCGAGCACTGATTCTAATAGTAATAGTCAAGAGAAGGCCAGTGAAGAAAGTAGAAAAAATTCAGAACAAGTAACGAATGAGGCGATTGTGGATGAACGACCTGATGAACGGATACAGGAAACCCATGACCTACCGACTACTTCTACTTCTGGAGGAGAAGAAGGGAAAATAGTTGATACTCTGACCACTGAAGAGATGGAGAAAAGCAGAACTGAGGACGGGGGTCAAGAGCTCAAGGATGGAGACGATATGGATTCAATAGAAACGAATGAAGATTTGAAACAAGCAATGGACGAAGACAGTTTTATAAAAGTAATTAATAAAAAAAGTAAGAAAAAAAAAACTGGAATCCCAGTAGCAGAGAAAAGGGTTTCCCCTTACCAGAAAAATAGAGAAGTTAAAAAAAAGCAGGGTCCTGTCGGGTAGATGAACAGTCATTCACCCCGTTAGATTTATAAATTGCACCTGCAATTATTCATATTTTTCTTTATTTTTATATATATATACATGCACAACACGATCAAGATAGCTACCCTAAATGTTAAGGGTTTAAACAACAAACAAAAGTTTCAAAAAACGATGACATTATTAAAATCATATAAATTAGACATAATTGTTATACAAGAAACCAATCTTCACGACTTTGCTATTAGAAATTTTCTTGCACAGCAATGGATTTTCGATTCATACTGGACATCTAAAACTGCGATTCTGGCAGGAAAAAAAGAAATAAAGTTTGAAAAAATTAATGAATCAAATAACGGACGAGTTATATCAGCACGTTTCAACTTTAAATGACGCTCATATCTGGTCACAAACATATATGCTCTACCAAATATTGAGGACCGGGTGACCTTTTTTAATAGTTGGTCTCCACAAATAGACGAAGAGGTTATTAATATAGTAGCTGGGGACTTTAATGTGAATTTGAATCCTTATAAAAATAGAATTAGCCAAGCAGAACCGCATAATGATTCATCATGTGATGTTTTAAAACAAAAGATGCAAGAGTACATAGATACAGCAGAGATTATAGGGCTTAAACCCTTTCTTACTTTTTACCAGAGGACTCGGGGTAGTCAACTGATGGCCATGCGTCTAGACTATATTTTTATCGATGCTTATAATGCTCAATATTGTAATAGTATTTCTACTAGGTATAGAAATTTGGACCACCTGCTTGTTGAGTGTGAATTGCACTTCGCACAGGATCACCCACAGGCAGCATATTGGAAGTTTGATAAACGATGCTGGGTTAATTCAAAAGTTAGAAAAGAAATCGAGGAGGAGCTGCATAATATTGATATAGACAAATGGGACCGTCATAAATGTATTATTCAATCGATTATAAGGGCCTATAAACCGCAAGTAGCTCTGGGAAATAAAATTCAAAGACTACATAAAAGGCTCACGGAAATAAACTTGAAATTAATGCACAATAACGAGTATAAGGACCTACGACTAGTAGCAGAAAAAGTAAATCAACAATTGCAAGAAAACTTGTCCTCTTTAGCAGAAAAATAGCAAATTAGATCAAAAGCGAAATGGGTAGAAAGTGGAGAAAAGTCCACGAAATATTTCTTTATGCGATATAAGACTAGGCTCTCTTCTACACCTACCTCTAAAATTAAAGACCC